TCGATTCCTAGTCAGGGCATGTACCTAGATTACAGGTTCGCTCCCCAGTGAGGGCTTGTATGGAAGGCAACTAATCGCGTGCTCTCTCTCTCTCCATTCCTCTCCCTAAAAAAACATATCCTCAGGAGAGGATTAAAAAAAAAAAAAAAAAAGCTAAATCAATAACAGTCAGGTGTGTGGGTAAACTCTCTCAGCAGATAATTTAACAGTACTTGGGCCTCAGTTGAAATTTGGAGTACTGCCACTAATGACTACCATTGGCAAGACTGTTGAAAAGTGTCATTTCTTCTTATCTTTTCATGACACATTCGCCAAAGAAACTCCTGACTTAGCCTAAATCGTGCTCTTCTGAAGAATCCATACTTTCCATAATTGAATGCTTTCTCTCAAATAATACATATCTACTTTTGTTTTACAGAAATATTCCAGCTATGTTAATTTGTATTCCGTATCAATATTTTACACATGACCAAGAATAAAATATTTGTGTGACAGAAAACATATAATGAAAATTTTAAGACAGGTTACTCTGGGGAGTAACCATAAAAATAAAGTGTAGCCGAAACCGGTTTGGCTCAGTGGATAGAGCGTCGGCCTGTGGACTGAAAGGTCCCAGGTTCGATTCCGGTCAAGGGCATGTACCTGGGTTGCAGGCATATCCCCAGTGGGAGATGTGCAGGAGGCAGCTGATCGATGTTTCTCTCTCATCGATGTTTCTAACTCTCTATCACTCTCCCTTCCTCTCTGTAAAATATCAATAAAATATATAAAAAAATAAAAAATAAAAAAAAAATAAAGTGTAACTTACAATAAATGTGCTTACAACTTACAATGAATGTGCTTAACCTTTTGCAAGACAAACACTTATGAGTAAGAATAATAAACTAGTAATATCTGATTAGAAAAGAACTGATAGAAAATTATATAGTTATCTTCATTGTCTCAATTAAATAAAAGCAGGAGTTAAAATATGATGTGTAGCAATAAAGTTTTCTCTAAAACTTTCTAAACTTGCCCTAACCGGTTTGGCTCAGTGGATAGAGCCTTGGCCTGTGGACTGAAAGGTCCCAGGTTCGATTCCGGTCAAGGGCATGTACCTTGGTTGCAGGTACATCCCCTGTGGGGGGTGTGCAGGAGGCAGCTGATCGATGTTTCTCTCTCATTGATGTTTCTAACTCTCTATCCCTCTCCCTTCCTCTCTGTAAAAAAAAAAATCAATAAAATATATTTAAAAAAAACCAACTTTCTAAACTTAAGAGGTAATAAAAAAATTCCCACATTTTGATCACTTATAGTAACCCTAACATTTATTGTAACATGCCACGCACTGTTCTAAGTATTTTAAATGTGTTTTTCATTTTATCCTCGCCACAACTTAAGAGGTTAAGAAGGACTGGGACCCCTATTTTATAGGTGAGGTAATTAGGGCACAAAATGGTTAAGTAACTTGCACAATGTGTGCACAATGTCACACAAAAAATAATTTGTGGATCCAGAAATTTCACCAACTAATCTGGCTCCAAAGCATTACACTAAACTGCCAATCAGGTAATGTCGTCAATGTGCTTTGCAAATGGTAAAATGTGCAAATGTTAGGTGTACTGATCAAGGGCACATGCATTGTAGTCAGACTTAGTGTCAAGTCTCAATTCTGTAATATACTACCGATGTGAACTTGAATAAGTCACTGAACTTCTCTAAGTTTCAATTTTCTGTTCTATAAAAAGAAAATAGCCGAAGCCAGTTTGGCTCAGTGGATAGAGCGTCGGCCTGCGGACTGAAAGGTCCCGGGTTCGATCCCGGTCAAGGGCATGTACCTGGGTTGTGGGCACTTCCCCAGGGGGGATGTGCAGGAGGCAGCTGATCGATGTTTCTCTCTCATCGATGTTTCTAACTCTCTATCTCTCTCTCTTCCTCTCTGTAAAAAATCAATAAAATATATTTTAAAAAAAAATGAGAAAATGAAGTCACCATTCTTACTTCAGAGGGCTGTTGGTGAATTCGGGGCACTATGCATGTAAAGGATTAGCAGAGTGCTTGGCATACAATAAGCACTCCATGAGCATTCATTATTATTAGCTAAGAATTCTCTTTATTATCATAAACTCTCATTTTAGTACTGGTGATATTTTCTAAAATAAGTGAAATCTATCAATACTGAGATAGTAAAAATTTATGAACTTAAGACCCAAAGTGTCAAAGTATATGACAGTGATGGCGAACCTATGACACATGTGTCAGAGGTGACACGCAAACTCATATTTTTGGTTGATTTTTCTTTGTTGAATGGCATTTAAATATATAAAATAAATATCAAAAATATAAATCTTTGTTTTACTATGGTTGCAAATATCAAAAAATTTCTATATGTGACACAGCACCAGAGTTAAGATAGGGTTTTTCAAAATGCTGACATGCCGAGCTCAAAAGGTTCGCCATCACTGGTATATGACAGCATGGTTTTGAGATGGAAAAGGCTACTGCTTACTTTAATATCATTATCAAACATTTATTTAAATAGCCTCGTATACATCAAATATGCTACGCACTAAACAAAATTATCAAGACACAGACTCTGACTTCAAGAATACACAATCAATCAAATTAATCCTGTTGAGTGGGCACCAATAGCAAAACCTCCAACTTTGGGCATTTTCCCAACCAGATGCACCTGTGTTCCCCTGTTTGTGGTGCACTAGTGGTGAATATATGCAGAGGAAGAAATCTAAAATTAAATAATAAACCTGACAAATAGAATGTAGAACATTAAGATTCAGGAGGAAGTGAGCTGACTTCACACCTCTTACCTTCTCAGAACATATCTTAGCTATCTTGGTTCTAAGATCTCTTGTTAACCAGAAGAGAAAATAGGAAAGATGAGGTGGAATCTCAAAACATGAGTCAAAGGAAAAGTCTACAGAAACATATTATAAGAGAGGAGAAATAAATCTGGAAAGTTAAAAAGGCAAAATAATTGTGAGTTTAAGTGAAACATGTTTTATTCTGCATTCTATCATGTGCCTGATAACTTAGAAACCAAACAACTAACAACAGTTCTTAGACTGCTGATCCCTACTCCTCTTCAATCCTGAGGTTTCCATTAGTCTTAAAGTAAGAGAAGAGGAAAAGAATAACAGAGTACTGAAGGATTTTGTCTAACAGCACAGCCACCAGCACGCTACACATATCCTAGAGCAGTGGCTCTCAACCTTCCGGCCCTTTAAATACAGTTCCTCATGTTGTGACCCAACCATAAAATTCTTTTCGTTGCTACTTCATAACTGTAATGTTGCTACTGTTGTGAATCGTAATGTAAATATCTGATATGCAGGATGGTCTTAGGTGACCCCTGCGAAAGGGTCGTTCAACTGCCAAAGGGGTCGCGACCCACAGGTTGAGAACCGCTGTCCTACAGCATGGTTTCAGATCAACTAACAGAACCATGGCTAAATCATAATTCTGGTAAACTATGGAGTCTATTAGATAAGTAACTTCTAAAACTCCTAAGGATCTGGAATACTTCCACAGGCCACTGCAATAAACCTGGAAACCTCATTTCCAAAGTTTTAGAAGTATTTCTATCTCATCTTCAGTGGTCATGCTATTTGAAGAGATCTTTTACAACTTCACAACAGTAAATGATATCCACTTATGCCTCTCTATCTCCATAACTAATTGTCATAACACCTACTGGGAAACTCCTCTTTCTATACCCACAGCCTCAAGCCATAGCAAAGGAACAAACCCTTCCCCCGCTACTGCATCCACAGGCTCTTTAAAACAAAATGAGAACAGCCTATTGATCATAAAACAACATAACATACTCCTAAAAAATGTTGAGGTACTTTTAAAAAATGCAAGCAATCCGTGTCAACAGAAAACTTGACTCATATATACAAAACCAAGCTAAAAATTAAATATGGGTAATTTATATATTTTTCAAGAATATGTATATATTCTTCAAGAAGGTCTCTTGAAATAGGGAATAAAGAAGAAAAAATAAGAGACATGAACCAAGTCATTGTGTATTCAAGGTACATCTGTAATGAATACCCGCCCAATGTCGGCCATACCTCATCCAGCCCTCACTTGTACTATTCAAACTTAGGAAACTGAAGTGTAAGCCATATCTTTTGTTTCTACTTTTCATCACACTTAGGAGAGGACCGTATCTTCAGGAAGAAAGATGAGTTAAATTCTAGAGAAAAACTCTTAATTGAGCAAATAGCAGCAAAGGTGGTTATTATCTGTAGCCAGAGATACGTCTTAATATACTATAAGCAGTTTCTGATGGTTCTTTTACCTCCCTACACCAAGAACAAAAAGTGCTATCAATATTTGTTTATATAGCATACATGCAAAATGGCTTCCAGCACCAATTTCCTAGGCTTCTTCTCAAGAGGCTCAACCCTAAGCCTCTGAGATGACAGAGTTCAAGATTCAAAATAAAACCAAAAAATAAGAATGAACACCAGAAGGGAATAGGAAGAACAAAGAGTTTTAAATCACTTCTTACTTGTTCATTCTACCTTTTTAAACTGGTCCCAGTTTAGCCACTAACTTCTATGTTTGCCATGATCTGTTAGTTTGGCTATTACGACAAATATTCCTAATCTCTCTAGGCCCTTCTAATGTAAACCAGTCCTGACAAAGTTCTATTTTTTTCTCAATGACCCACATATTTTTGACAGTCCTTGAACCCTCTGTCTTTCCTTTTAAATTCCTGCTGTGTAGCCCTAGAGTTATGACAGAGAAAACATGTGGAAACAGGTGAGTGAAGTAAGAAAATTCCAGCAATTGGGCTCCCCTCTTTCTTCCATACACTATTTAAGAAGAAAAGCAGAGAAAAGACTGACATACAGATGAAAGGCTGTAGTAAAGAGCTAACCCAAGCTTTTTAAGAATTCTCTTATCTTTTCACTGATTATAGGTACTTAAGTCTGGAAAATATCTTTGGAATATGTCTTGTGTGTAGGAATGCATAAAAGATAACACTTTGCAAAAGTCAAACATACATGTTTAATAATGTGCAACTAATGAAGATGGTTTATAAATGAAATACCACCTACACATTTAGTTCCCTAAATATATTACACTATTAATCATTAAAGTTAGACCTATAAGTACAAGTTTTCCATATGTGGAAAAGTAAATCTGTATTTAAATTAAAGAGAAATTATAACTCTAATTTTTAAAAATAAAACTATCAAGATATAATTCAAGTGTAGCTGCTCATAGTCACTGAATAAATTTAAATTTGATAATAAAACATTTAAGTTTCAACCAATGCACCTTTGTTGAAGCACATTTAGCTGAAATAACTCCAAGTCTGGTTTATTTCCATCACATATAGTACATTTTTCCAACAAGAGCATGTACATTCAATATAGAACATTTCCAGCAACAGTTACAGTCTTTCTAGTTTCCTTTCACAGTATATTTTAGTGCAAAGCACTGGGAAGGGTAAATGTTTCTCTAGCTATAGAAGTATTTTATTACGACCTTGTGGATCTTCAACATTTTAAAATTTTATACAAAAAGTATATAGATGGACAGGGTCCCTCCTAAGTACAGGTATGAACCTATATAAAAACATGGTATATTCTCTGCTGTACCTTTTAAAATTATAATTTGACAAAAATTACTAAAAAATAAAATATTCCCTAAAAAGTACAAAAGATTGATACACAAAACCTGTCCAAAATTTCATAAAGATAGGTGTACTTCTGTTTTTCCTAAAATCTTGATTATAAAAATGAACAAGAATTCATTATTTTCCAAATTTTACAGTAGGAATCAAATATCTAAAGTGGTCATTTCAGATTTTACTTGGGAGAAAAAAATCAGGGTTTACACCCCCACCTGCCTTTTTTAGCAATATTTAAAGAAATAAACTCGTATCATAAGAAGTGGTTGTGCATGGATTGTCTGCATCCATAAAATATCGGTAAGCTATTTACTACCTTCATATTAACATTAGTAAATGTGTGGTCTTTTAAAAAAATAGAAACTGAAAAATTAAGTTGCATCTATCATTAAAGTGCTTTGTATAAAATTTAAAGAAAAATAGGGGAATGTTAAATTTTCATAAAAACTTCAGATGTTTACAAATGAAAAATGTAATGATCATGGGTGAAAATGAACTGGAACTTTCCTGTAAGTATATATTTTCGAATGAAACTTCCAAACATTTAAGTGCTGGAGAACGAGTTAGAAATAAATGAATGTAAAAATAATTACCGATAATTAGTAAGCTAAATATGTATGTGTTGGTGCTAATTTGTCTTTTGGTCTTAACATCCACTCACTAGGAAACCAGGTATCTGTACAATCCAGATGACAATTTTGCCAAATAAAGTGGAACAAAACTAAAATCACTAAGATATCAAGTCTTTGTCAATTAAAAATCACCAGTGGTGATTATTTTCTTCAGGCTGTTGATCGCTTTAATCAACAAATTGTTTGAAAAACAAAATTTGCAACATTTTTGTAGACACTGGTTAGCTGATGTACTGTAATGACAATATGTAAATATCACAGCTACTTGAAAGTGCTGGAAAAGGCAGTGCCTTTGAAACAGTGGTTAGATAATTATCCTTTTAGTGAGAAAACAGCAGTTACAGTCAAATATTTATGAAAATGTTTTTCTTTTTTTTTTTTTCCTCATAGTACCATTTGAAGACGTTTAGTGGTTCTAACACCAATTTAAAGTCTTTCCACAAATATGAACTCCAAACCTTTTCGTACATCACTTGAAGTTATCTGAGGAGAAATGGAATAAATGAACACTTTTGAGTTCACCAATCAAAGCTTGTTTTTAAAATTATACAATAGTAAATGACTTCTAAAGAATGGTTTCATCACAAGTTTTCCACAAAAATAGAAAAATGTTATAATCAAACCACAACATTTAACCTACTCAGCGCTCTTTATAACCTGAATCCAAAACTAATTTAATACTAATTAAATATATTAATTGCCTTAACTCAGGGGACACAGATACTGAAGGTAAACTTTAAATTAAAAATATAAAGAGACTTGAAAAAACAAGGACAGGGAATCTACTCCTTATTTTATATTGCCATTTTAAAAATTTACATTTGTTCCAAAACCTCCTAAGTATTATTTTTTCTTTCTTCCCAACAGGGATTTCACTTTTCTTGCAACGCACAACCACACACACAAAAAAATTTTTTTAATCCCTATTTAATAATATTAACTATATTTTTTAACTGATCACCAAAAAGGTTATTTAAGCAAAAAGGGAAAAATAAGAGGATTTGGGATCTAAGTAATCATTCTTCTCATAGATCAAACTTAAAAATGGTAACTGACACATACTCCCAAGGAGAAGGAAAAAGAAATTCCAAACTTTTATCGTTTCCCCCTTTGCCTAGAAGCACTATGTTAAATGTAAATAATAATGCTAATCATTTTAAATTCAATTTGGGGAGTTTTTTTCTGAGTGCAGCACTTTATTTAGCTGTCACAGATTAATTTTTACAATAATTACAGTGCCTCAAAGGACTTTTTTCCTATAATTATCGCCTTCACAAATTCATTCTAATATATTTAACTTTTCTACAATGCATTTATTAGTAGACTAAGTCACTGAATCAAATTAAACCTGTGCAAAGTTAAACAGAAGACTTCTACTGTAAACATAAGCCAATATAAATGTACTATTTTACAACATAGAGAGGAAAGCACTGACCCTGTGCCATCTACCTATTAACTATATTGCATTGTCCTGTGGAAGATAAGTTCTGAAGTTAACTTTTGTTCCCAAGCCACTGGAATAAAGGTCACTGAAGAGGAAATGCAATATGTGCATCACTCTTGCAGTTCCCATTGCCATAAGATATATGGAAGCAAATGTGTTAAAATGGAATCAGCTATAAATTATGGTCAAATGATTTTTTTAGTTCGATGGGGAGAAAAAAGCAAAACTCTGTTAACTGTTCCTCACCAGACAAGAGCCTTAGATCTTGTACTTCGGCCTTTGGTTTTGTTTCCTTCAGGTGAATTGGAAGCATTTGCCTTATGAGTTTTCTTATGATGTTCAAGATAAGTCTTTTTGGCAAATGCCTTTCCACATTTATTGCATCTGTGAAGAGAAAAGTTTTTTGTGACTTTTACTTCAATACCAACGTCAGCTACTTCATACTTTTTACTAGGAGAGTTAGAAGTGCCATCATGTTTTGAATCGCTATGTTTTGCTTCATCCCTCGAAGGGCCTCTTTTTGCCACTTTATTTAGAACAAAATCAATGGGCTTTTTTATAGCTCTGATCTCCAAACTGGCTGTTATTTTCCCAAGGTAGCGGGATGACTTTTTATGAACCACAGTTATATGTCGTATCACATCGCGCTTCCGACGAGTTTCATAAGTGCAAAGAGGGCACTTGTAGAATTTAACATAAATGTTATTCCCATCTGTGTGCAACTCAATGTGTTTAGTCAAGTTCTGTTTGGAAGTAAACTGACGTTTACAAAGTTTACAGTAAAGTTGCTTAAAGTCAAAGCCAGCTGAAAGTTTTGGTTTCCTGGTTTTTTGCTGGCCACCTGCAGCAGACGGACTGGCTGATTTAGGGCTTTCAGAGTCTTGTTTAACTGTATTTTTCTGTGCTGCCGGTGTGTTCTTTTTTTCATTTGAATGATTTGTTCCCTTTAATTCATTCTGTGGAGAATGGGTAATGGAAGGGGGTGAAGATTCTACAGAATCTGCTGGTTCAACTTTAACTTTTATTTCTGAACTGTTGGCAGTATTATTAGGGCCTTTCTCTCTTTTAGAGTTTGTCCCAGAAAGAGTAATCTTGTGGGCCATTTGCATATGTCTTTTAAGCATTATTTGTGAACTATATTTCCTCTTGCAAAGGAGGCATTTGCATGCGGTTAAATTGTATTCAGCCTTTGAAGACGACTTTTGTTTTCGAGTCTTAAAAGATTTTTTAGGAGAAACAGAATCCAGGAACAAAGGTTGCCCAGGCTTTGTTGCTATATCAGGAGTAATTGAATCCCTCCTTAGTCCTCTATGAACTTCATCAAAATGCCTCCTTACATTCGCTTTTGTAGCAAATGATTTACAACATACTGGACAACTCCTACTTAATGGAACTAGAACATTCTTACTGCGTCCTTTAGAGGTTTGGTTTGGATTCTTTCGTGTCTCAATGTACTTTTTTAATTCTTCCATCTTTTTCTTATGTACTTTTCGAATGTGACGACGAACACCTCGTCTGGAATTAAATTCTTTTCTACAAAGACAACATATCAACTGGTGACCAAAATCAGAATTGTCAGAAGTTTCTAAGTCAGCCTGTGATTCCTGAGGTTGTTCATCAGATGTGGGCGCAACTTCATCTGTAACCATCTCAACAGGAGGGGGCTCTACAGTTTCCACCTCTGTAACTGTAACTGGTACTGTTTTAGAAGGTTCAGTGTCACTTTCTGGTATTTGAACTTCAGTTTGTTCAGGAGTAGTACTGCTTGACTCTGTGACTTCAGTAGGATTATCAGTCCTTGAAATATACTGAAACACTGCATTTTGATTAGTTTCTATGGGTTCTAGCTTAATAATATATTCTCGCTTGTCCACATTTGGATATATGGCTTCTAGGAGATCATTTATGGCTTGGCTTTGTTTATCATTTACATCAGGAAGGTCTGTTAAGAAAAAATAACAACATTTTAATCTGGAATAATTAGCCTGCTATATATAGCCTTCTAATATTTTTTAATGTATTATGAATGGCTATCTTAAAATTTATATTTCTGGTTCATGTTCATTTTCATTACAGCAATATCTCTTTTCAGTATTTTATGAAGATAAAAACTAGTATTAAACTAAAATTTGCTTTAAGACCTCAACATAGTATGCAAATGATAAGAAATAGATGCAACAGAAGAGCTACTTCCACTTTTAAGTGCCCTTAATATAAAATATATAAGCACATGGGCATCCTAAACAATAAAATATTTCATATTTTTAGGCAATCAAAGTTCTCATTACCCAAAATGGATAAAACATAATGAAGTATGTTACTACATATAAAAATAATTATTTTAGAAAATATAACAGCATTCCTATTAAACTTATCCATAACAAATTAACTATTCTAATTGCATGGAGACATACTTATGGAAAGGAAAAAGAAAATTTGTAGGAAAATATAAAAACATGAGTAACATGATATATAGAAGTATTTGCTAAACCCAGCCCTATTATGTGTCTCCTTAACATGAACCAATTCTATTAAAACAAATGATTAAAAACTATAGATTTATTCCAAAAACAGTTAGTTTTATTTACTTGTACAATAATTACACCCTCTATAGGCAACTAACTATTACTATTGGAACAGAGTTGTCTTAACACTAGTTAGGTTTCCACATACAACTCTAAATTCTAGCTGTTACTTATTAAATATAGCATCAAATTATCGGTTTAGAAAACAAGATATGATTCAATATAGCTCTTCTCATGTACTTCCCTTATAAAATGGATGAAGTGTCTACAAGAAGAATAACACTTTCACAACAGTATCTCTAGAATGAGTATTGCCAAGAAGAGAGCACAATAATCCTGTAAATCCATTTACCTACAGCATTTGGCCAAAAGTTGTTTGTTGGAAATAATACAATAATTAATAAATAATAATATAATAAACTCGTTTCACATACTCGCAACTGTAAACCTAATTTTGCCACACCCTGTATTTCCCTAAGTCATACTAAAAAATAAAAAGGATTAACTACCAGAAAATTAATCTATTTTTAAATATATTTCACTGATTTTCTACAGAGAAGAAGGGAGAGGGATAGAGAGCCAGAAACATCAATGAGAGAAACATCAATCAGCTGCCTCCTGCACACCCCCCACTGGGGACATGCCCACAACCAAGGCACATGCCCTTGACCGGAATCAAACCTGGGACCCTTCAGTCCGCAGGCCGATACTCTATCCACCGAGCCAAACCAGTTAGGGATTAATTTATTTTTAATGGTACTTTAATTAAAAAGTTAGATTTGAAACTAGTGTTTATAGACTTTTCATTTATATCTCAATGATATCTTTTTATAATCTTTTCATTTATGTCTCAATTAAAAAATAGTATGTAGCTCTAACAGCAATATCCAAATATGAAATTCTTATTTCACTTATGTCTTATAATGCTTTAAATCAGTCTCATGCTGATATTTGAAGTTTGTATTTCAATCCCATCCCAAAAAGTTTAAGTTGAAAAACGCACAAAATCCATAATGCAATATAGTATCACACTGGCAAAACAAGTTCTATATTTTGTAAACCCACAAAGAGTTAAATCCCTGAACAAAAATTATGAAAGTAAGCTATTACTAAAATATTTTAAGGAATTTACATGAGTTCTTTAAAGCAAGAAAATAACACCATTACAGCAACCTAATTATACAGGGGCAATACACTTAATTCAACAAACGTTTGGTTCCACAAACACTTTATTGGCCTACTATCTGCATTCCTCACATTAAGCTATTTCAGATCTCAAGTTAGTCCATAATACAATCTAATTTCTGGTAAAATGACTGATCTAAATAAATTTCACAGAGAACAAAATTGATCTTCAAATCAAGACCCAGAAAACAGTAGAAAGATTAACACTCCCATGAAATCATTAACTCATTCTTTCTTTGCTCTATTCCCAACCTTCTCATTACTTAAGAGGAATCTTAGTAAATTATCAGTCATATCTGGTAACAAGATGTTAAAGAAGAAAAATACCAATATTCCCTTCAAGAATTAGTATTATAACTTACATAAATCCTGACTATAAACTATATGATCCATATGAACATTCAAAAACAATATTCACTATTTTAATACAAATAAATATACTCATAAATCTAACCTCATATATCTATAGGAAAATTCAAGTGGAAAGCACAAGTATAAAAGTCCATATCTAAGAAACTAAATATACACTGAGTCATGTATTTAATTTTATTCTCTATCATTAAATTATCCATAAATGGATATCCATAATTTAACACAAACGTAGTTGTAATATAAGAATACTTAATTGTAAAATGCATAAGTGAATAAATGACTGAAACTTACTGTCATCCATCTGGAGACTTGGTGGGCAGTAGAATTTTTTGTGGGTAATTAAATTTGGTAATCCTCTGAAGAGACTTCGGCATAATTTACATTCAAAGATAGTGTCCACATCTTTTAATAAAATGTGTTTCAGTTGTTTAGTTCCTAAGGAGGGGGGAAAAAAGAAAACTTTACACAAAAGGTAACTTCAATATGTACTTTTAAACTGAACAACCATTGTTGAGAATCCAAAAGTGCAATTTTACTTGTTAAAAATGTTATATAGACATTTCCAATTATTACCACAGTGTATTATTCACAATTTATTTATAAACTAAGTTTTATGCAAAAATCCTTCTATCTTTTCTAATAAAGAGGGAATATTCAGCCAAAACCGGTTTGGCTCAGTGGATAGAGCGTCAGCCTGTGGACTGAAAGGTCCCAGGTTCGATTCCGGTCGAGGGTATGTACCTGGGTTGTGGGCACATCCCCAGTGGGGAGTGTGCAGGAGGCAGCTGATTGATGTTTTCTAACTCTCTATCTCTCTCCCTTCCTCTCTGTAAAAAAATCAATAAAATATATTTAAAAAAAAAAAAAAAAAGAGGGAATATTCAAATTGACCATCAGGCCATAACGGTCAAGATGGCTGCACCCAGAGAGGCAAAGATTCCATAACACAAGATAGCTGCGCTCACAGTGGAGGCCGAGTTCCCGTAATGAGCCTTAACGAGCAATCAGCAGGGACCTGAGGCTGTGCCCCCTGCCAGGTGGGGCTTGACAGGAGACCTCAGGCCATGACCCCCACCCCTGGCCCTGGCACCAGGCTGGGGAACCTCAGGCCACGCCCTCCACCTTGGTGCCAGGCTGGGGGAACCTCAGGCCACGCCCCCCACCCCAGTGCTGGGCCAGGGGACCTCAGGCCGCACCCCATGCCCCGGTGCGGGGCCGTGGGACCTGAGGCCACGCCCCCCGCCTGGTGGGGCTTGACAGGGGACCTCAGGCTGCACCCCTTACCCATGGGGCTTGACGGGGACTTCAAGGCACACCCCCCATGCTAGCCTGGGTGACTTGAGGCTGCACCCCCCGCCTGGAGGGGCTTGACAGGGGACCTCAGGCTGCTCCCCTCGCCCCGGCACCAGGCCAGGGGACCTGAGGGTGCGCTGGGGGACCTGAGCCTGCGCTCCCCGCCCGGCAGGGCTTGACAGGGGACCTGAGGCTGCGTCCCCCACCCAGCAGGGCTTGACAAGGGTGGGGCCAGCTGGGTCTGGATCTCACCCAGTGAGGGTGGGGCCAGTTGGGTCTGGGTATTGTGCGATTTTGAGGCTCCGCGAGTGTGCGGGGACTTAACTCTGAGTCCCGCAGCACTCCCCAGACTCTGACAGGAGGAAGATTTTCATATACATTTTACTTATTTTCTTTTTCTGACACTTCTATTATAGAGAAAGGGCAAATAGCAATATTAAAATATTTCCTATAATTAATCCCCTTTTAATGTGCACGAATTTCATGCACTGGGCCACTAGTTTGGATATAAGGACAACTAAAATTGATGCTATTTTTCTAATTCTGAAGTCAATCAATTCTTGGGATATCCCAACAGTGGTCCCAACATCTCTTTGTTTGATCAGCAAAATGACCTGGGAATAAAGATGTATGTGATCCACCCTCAGAAATTCTGATTCTATAGATCTGGAGTGGGACAGAAAAATTAAATGTCCCCATCCCCTCCCACTCTCTGCCAAAGTTTTGCTCTGGTTCTTCAAGCTTACTTCGGCATTAGGAAGTGAACATGGAGTTTTGTAACACATTTTCCCGATTCCTTAAAGAAAGTCAAAACTGCCCAGCCAGCATGGTTCAGTGGTTGAGCATCGATCTATGAACAGAAGGTCGCAGGTTTGATTCCCAGTCAGGGCAAATGCCCAGGTTGCAGACTCAATCCCCAATGTGGGACTTGCAGGAGGCAGCGGATCAATGATTCTCTCTCATTGTTTTTATCTCTCACTTCCTCTCCCTTCCTCTCTGAAATCAAAATTTTAAAAAAAAAAGAAAAGAAAAAAAGTCAAAACTGTGTCACAGGATTGTCTGTGACTTTTCTTTTTTAAATCAGCTCAAATTACTTCAGATTCTGGGCCAACAAAGGATTATGGCCATTTAATGTGAGAGTAGATCTTGTCCATAATTTTGAATTTTGGTTAAGCCTCTTGACACCACTATAAATTTACTCAAAACCTTTTTCCCCTCAAAAAGTTACCCCAATTGCAATTAATTCAATATTGACATACTCGTTTAAAGCCTGCCTTTCTCCACTAAGATTATAAACTCCAAATCAGCCAAGACCAAGTATGTCTTACTGATAACTACAAAGTATTCAGCTCTAATAGTGCTCAATAAATATTCGTTAAAGAAGTGGCAGTGATCTAGGGATTCTAAGCATTGTGACAAAATATCAAAAGGCAGAGAAAAAATAAATGGCAGCAAGCATCTAATCTTTAAAATAAAAACATCCACCAGGAATAAAACACAACTGGAAGGTCTTCTGTCACTACTTCCTACAGGTCATTGCCATAGATAAATTGAAAAAATTGACCTACAATGCTTTACTAATTAACGAGCCTTCAGTTTTCTCAAATAAAAGGAAATGATAATATTGATTTAAATTAAAAACAAAAGTGTCCTGAGAAATACCTTTAAGACCATCTAGGTGTAAAGTGTTCTTTCATTCAACAACTATTTGACTCTCTGTGTAAGCTCTGGAACTACTAAAGAGTAAACACAATCTTACTAATATAATTAATATTGGCGGGTCCATAAAAATATTTCTGATTTAACCTTTGCAATCTGTTTACATTTAATTTTCATATCATAATTTTGTATTTTATCATCATTTTGAAAATAGACCAACCGTCAAAATTCTACTGAAAAAAGATTGATTAAGCACAGTGGTTCTCAACCTTGGCTGCACATTAGAATCAACTGGGAATCTTTTTAAAATCCTGATTTCTGGGCCTCATCCTCTGGAAATTCTGTTTCTTTGTTATGGGGTGGGGCCACAACATTAGTAACAAAGAGACAGAATTTCCGGAGGATAAGGCCGAGAAATCAGGATGTTAAAAAGATTCCCAGGTGATTCTAATGTGCAGCCAAGGTTGAGAACCACTGGATTAGCAGATTATCAGAACTTTACCGTCTTTAGAGGTTCCAATTTTGATAGTCATGTGACCTTAAAGAGCTGTATAATCTTTGCACGTTGACTTATCCATATTTAAAATGAACAAACCAAACCTATCTTGGAGAAATTATTAAAGCAGATATGAACCTAAATCCACCCCAAATTATACATTTGGGTTTCTATTGGAAAAAAAAAAAAAAAAATATATATATATATATATATATATATATATATATATATATATATATATATATATATATATAAATAACTAGAGGCCAAATGCACGAAATTCATGCATGAGTAGGCCTTCCTTTCCCTAGCTGCCAGCACTGGCTTCCCTCTGGCACCCAGGACCCAAGCTTCCCTCGAAGTCCCAGCTTCGCCTGAAAGGTCGTCCAGAAGGATGTCTGGAAGGACATCCAGTCTAATTAGCATATTACTCTTTTATTATTATAGATGAAATAATTTCCACCCCTTCCCAAATCTAAATTAATGTTTATTCTACTAGACCAGCGGTTCTCAACCTGTGGGTCGTGACTCCTTTGGGGGTTGAACGACCCTTCCACAGGGGTCGCCTAAGACCATCGGAAAACACATATATAATTACATATTGTTTTGGTGATTAATCACTATGCTTTAATTATGGTCAATTTGTAACAATGAAATTGGGGGTCACCACAACATGAGGAACTGTATCAAAGGGTTGCAGCATTAGGAAGGTTGAGAACCACTGTACTAGACCATATTATCACAAAATCAGAAAACATAAATTTAGAAAGATTCAGAAGATAGCCTGGGTATTATTCTTTATAAAAAAGTAAATTCATATGTGTGCGTGTGTATGTACATACATACACACGTATTTGCATAGTCCATTTCACATTACAAAATATATTGGCAATAAACTGCTACTCTATTTCTAGTTCACAGTTAAACTCCTAAGTGGCTGACAAAATATAAGTGGTAGACTAAAAAAAGTACTTTATATAAACTTCTCTACTAATCTACATAAAGTTCTCAGGAAGTATTGCTGAGTGTAGTACCAGTAGGAAGAACACATAAAAACTTTTTGCAGTTTAATTCTAATTAAAAGACCTTCAAGACCTACACTAAAGCCGAAACCGGTTTGGCTCAGTGAATAGAGTGTCGGCCTGCGGACTGAAGGGTCCCGGGTTCGATCCCGGTCAAGGGCATGTACCTTGGTTATGGCCACATCCCCAGTGGGAGGTGTGCAGGAGGCAGCTGATTGATATTTCTCTCTCATCGATGTTTCTAACTCTCTATCTCTCTCCCTTCCTCTCTGTAAAAAAATCAATAAAATATTTTTAAAAAAAAAAAAAAAAAAAAAAAAAGACCTACACTAAAGATCCAACTCTGCCTTTAACGATAGTCAAAAAGGACTGAAGAGGAACACAAAAATAACCTGAACTAGGTTAACATAAGAATTCAACTGAAGAGTTACATAAAAAGTACAGGATGAGGTTATACATTTTTAAAAAGCTACTTGTAAAAATATAAGACTGCATTCCTACTAGTAAATCAGACATATCACTATCTACCAGGCTCTCAATCGACCATTAAAAAAACCAATACCAATTTCTCATATATTTCTAGTTATAGAGTAATATGCAGTTTAGAGTGCCCAATAAGCATCCAAAACCAGAAAAGTATTTGGCTCTAATTAATCAACCTTAATTATTGATCACAAAGGCTCCCCTACTCCCACCTCCCCCCACCTCTGCACACTCACACATACAAAACAGTTGTGTTGATCCAGGCATACTAAATGTCTTTCAGGTTGACGGATATACCAAATTCTATCTCTCTTACTTTTCAGGCCTTCACCTTTTTTTCTCTCTCTTATGAATTCTTCCATTTCCCTGGTCTGACTCACTTGTAATCCTTCAGATCTCAGGTTATATGTCACATTCTCCAGGAAACCTCTTTGACCCCTCCTATTACTTTTGTGAAGAATTTTTCATCTATACCCTCATAG